ATTCGTTAAAATTGCTCTTACTATACAATAAATTCATCACAATTCTATTATTACTTGGTATCCAGTTATCCACCATCTAACTGCTTATTAAACATGAGTTGTAACTGTTGACAGTGGACTGTCAATTAAAAAGAATTGCAATTTTTATGCATGAAATTTATATTAATTACATAATAAAATTATCGATACTTATTTCATAATTATTATTAAAATAATTATGAATACATTACATTTTGCATAATCTTTGTATTTCACTATAATAGTTAATATATTTTGTATAGTATATCATATGAATTATACATCTATTTCATATAATATTTTCTACTTTTATAACACGTTTTTCTTTTTTCTCGATATAGGAATGGAGAAAAAATAATTATTGTAGGAACTTATATTTCGAGCGACTTTTTCATTTATTTATTGGGTTAATTGCTAAATAAATCTTAACCTTAAATTGGGTTAATTGCTAAATAAATCTTAACCTTTTTGTGTTTGACAATTTTATCCCAATCTTTGGTTAATTGCAATATAATCTCGACCTCAATTTACTTATTGCAAGTCGAACCTAAAACTGATTGGACCTTCAAAAAACTGGTCGATTTGAAGGCGGTTCGAATAGATCGGAGCTCATATTTACCGGTTCACTCCAGATTGAGGAGGATACTCATCACCGGTAGCTTACATTGACGTGAAATTTTCGGCTTTGTGCGTAGATATACATTGAGTACGTGAAAATTGTCAACTTTCTACGTGAAGGACATAAAAACTCGTGTCTATAGAAGACTTGGACACAAAATCGATCCACAAATCTCTAAGACCAATCACTCTGCACCCAAATTTGAAATAAGTAAATTGAAGTCGAGATTATATTACAATTATCCAAAGATGAGGATAACCGCCGTCTTCTACAGCTTGGGTGAATAGAACCGATCTCTACACATCGACCGAAGCTCTCGCCTCAGTTAACCTCTATCAATGGCTCATTGGATCTCCTCTAAGCTCAGAGCCGCTGAAACCCTACTCCAACAGGTACGTAAATCCTCACTCTAGCGAGGTTTGGCTCTCAGTAGATTGTACCATCGTTAGAATCGGAACGATTCC